ACTTTATGATAGGTGAACCACGCATTTGACAGGTCCTGAAAACCTTACTTTTGCTCTAATACCGGCTCGTAAGTAATCAAAATATATGGCATGCTATAAAATAACGGATTTAAGACAACTGTAATCGCAAAGACAAACTAAGAGCAACCAAGGTGCAGGAATAAAGCGTAGCTTTTTCAGACACTAGTCGAGTAGGGCCCCCTTTGAATTATGGAAGCGTTTCTGCTGAAATCCCTCCACATGTGATTAACAAGCCAAAGGAACAAAGGGGCAAAAATGCTCAATAGTTGCCCAACACAAAAAATAGAAAACCGAAAAAAAACACGAAAAGCAGTAGCATGAAACAAGAGTCGCGGAAAAAAAATTCTTCTCGAGACGCAGAACAAATATAATGGATGAGGTTACTGAGACAGCCTGCTTGCTCACCACTTTCATCAACGGTCGATACAAGACTGAACTGAACAGATCCGGTTTACTGGTCGTCACCAACAAGGTTTCGATGACTATGGCTCCAGATTCCTTCAGTCCCGAGTGTTAAGAACAAAGAAGAACATTCCGCGGGGGCTCTAGCGTCCTGTTATTGGGGACAAGCTGTTCAAATCTCAGATTAGGATTCGACTGGCTGAAGATGGCTAATAAGTCCGAAATTCCCCTGCTGTCTCCCATTTTTACTGTTGGTTTTTTATGGGTAGGCCTGTCAGCACTCTAGATTTTGGTTCTAAACACCAGGGGGCGAACATGCACCACAGCACACCTGAACATATATGGGATCCGCTTGCGCTAATTAGCCTTCCTGATCACAACTGACAGAACATAGACTCATTATAAACAAAGTGCTAGGGACCGCATCCGCGTTACCAAAACGTGAGACTGAAGTGTGGGTGGATGGCCAAAGATCGCCAACAGTCATCCTAACATCTATGCGTTTTGTTGACCGTTTGCCCTTTGCCTCACTACTTGCCGCTAGATGGATGCCTTTGAGGGCTCTAAACTGGTGCCGCACAATAAAATGGTACGAGGAAGATACCCACACTGGCCAGCTCGCCAGACCAAGTAAACTCAAGAGGCAGTAAAAAGAACGATGAAAACTGCAAAAGCGACTCACCGTCACGCAAACACCCAATCCGATAGAGGGTAGGAGTACGAATGACAAAGGCAAATAAATCATCAATGAAGGTATTCAGAGCCTTGTAGGTAAGCATGCGCCAAGGCAAGTGAGCAACTGATTTCATCTTGTAGTTGATGAAGAGCTGCGGGGTCATTGCGATGAAGCCTGAAAAAAAAGAAGTTGAGGAGTAGAAAGCAAACCATCAGAAAAGTACTGATATCATCCGGTCACAAGCAAAAGGAGCATAAGAGGAAGAAGGCTGGTAAGTTCTTTCAGTCGGATTATATCTGCGAATGCCGTATTCACCCTGCAGACCTTCAAAACACCGTACTAAACCACTGAAAAAGAGTCAAACAGCCAAAAGTCTTATCCAGGCAGTATAAATCTTCAAGGTTTAAGAATTTTTAGATAAAAGGATTCCGGTTTCAGCAAAGTATGAAAAAAAAGACCAACACAGCCAAAAAATGGATGCCGCAAGATGATGACGCCCCGATTATGTGGCATCCGGCTGAACTAACCTTAATTTGTCAACCTTTTTAATTGAATTTCTAACTCAAAATCCGATCTGCCGTCCAGAAACCTGAATTATTGCGCTACGTAAACTACACCCTTGTCATCTTACTCCAAAATCTCTATACGATATTCTCAACTAGCAAAAACTGCGGATACATGTTTCGCCTATATATTTGCTGATACATGATGCAGCTCCAAGGAGCTCGGCTCTCCAATGGATCTTCTAACGTCCTATATGCGGTTTCTGTTATAATAATGGATTTATTTGCCTGTAGCATTATTTTCGACGTTAATCAATATGTCATTGGATTGATAAGTTGTTTTGGGTTTCTGTTTGGCCACCAACTAACAGCAGAAACACAAGCACGTGCTTACGGAAGATGGGTTGAAAAA